TTGTGATCCATTGATCAATTGGTAGCTTCGCATCACGTGAAGGTGTTCGACGTCAAGTAGCAGCACTGCGATCCCTTTGGAGCAGCCTCTGCTCGAGGCAGCTCTGTTGAGTCTCTCTCGGCCTGGGGTCGGCCACCTGCGGGTCGGGAGCTGCGTGTGGCGGCGGCTCTTTGGCTGCCCACCAACCCCTGCCGTTAAAAGAAGAAAAAAAACATCTTAAACGTAATTTTACGTAAAGATAATTTTTAAATACAGCGGGGAATTGGTGACTATGGAATGCCTTGGTGGTGACAACAAAATGTACAAACTGTTTTGTTAAAGACTAACGAAAGGGGGTGAAACTGAATAGACAGACGCAGTTTATCACATCACCTATTTTTGTTCAAGTCCGAATGTGCGTTGCCATCTGCTGTTTACCTGCTGCTGCTGTGTGTTATGCTGTGTTGTGCTGTGTGTTATGCTGTGTGTTGTGCTGTGTGTTGTGTTATGCTGTGTGTTGTGCTGTATTTTGTACCATCGGACACTCCACCCCCACAACTCCCAATAGGTGATGGGGCAGTTGTGGAGAGAGTGGAGAGTTTCCCATACCTGGGCAGTGTGCTTATGACTGGCTCCAGTTTAACAGCAGAGGTCTCACTCCGAATCAGTCGAGCGGCAATATCTTTTCATCGGTTGCGTAACGCTGTATGGAAGCTACCTGGTCTGTCGCTCCGCACTAAGCTTCAGGTCTTCTCGGCCACGGTCATTCCCTCCCTTCTCTACGCTTGCGAAACGTGGACCCCCCTAATGGAACATCTTCGCCGGTTAGAAACATTTAGGCTGGCCTGCCTACGATCCATCCTGGGTTTAACCAGACTGGATTGTGTGAGGAGCTCACAAATCCTTGAAAGATCTGGGCAAGGTCCCATCGGTGAGCTCCTCCGGCAGGCAAGGCTACGTTGGCTGGGTCATGTAGCCCCCATGCCCAGCCACCGCATGCCGAAACAGCTTTTGTTCGGCCGGATTGAGGGGGCTAAGCGGGCGCGGCACAGGCTAGAGAAGAGATGGAGTGATGTGGTACAGGAGGACGTGGAGCTGAGTGGACTTGCCGATGACTGGTACCAGCGGTGTCAAGATCGGCCTCTGTGGAGGAGGCTCGTGAAGGACGCTACTGGGCAGTTGGAGGCAGTCGCCCTCCAACAACAACGGAGGGCGGAGGAGCGACGCTCACAACGACGAGCGGAGCGCCGGGTGGCTAAAGCACAGCAGGTTGGCACAGTAGGGGGCACAGGTGGTGCATCAGCCACTCATCTCAGTCATCTCAGTCAGGCGACCCGTGGCACCTGGGTCTGCCCCGTGACCTGCCCGCGGGCGTTCGACACTTCACGTGGCCTCAGGGTGCACATAGCCTGGTACAAGCGTCGTGGTGACGTCACCGCTAGTTAGTGGCGAATGGCGGTTGTTGTTGTGTGCTGTGTGTTGTGCTGTGTTGTGTGTTATGCTGTGTTGTGCTGTGTGCTGTGTGTTGTGCTGTGTGTCGTGCTGTGTTGTGTGTTATGCTGTGTGTTGTGCTGTGTGTTGTGTTGTGTGGTGTGCTGTGTGTCGTGCTGTGTGTTGTGTTATGCTGTGTTGTGCTGTGTGTTGTGCTGTGTGTTGTGTGGTGTGCTGTGTGTTGTGTGTTATGGTGTGTGTTGTGCTGTGTGTTGTGCTGTGTGTTGTGTGGTGTGCTGTGTGTTGTGCTGTGTGTTGTGTGCTGTGTGATGTGCTGTGTTATGTGTTGTGCTGTGTGTTGTGCTGCGTGTTGTGTTGTGCTGTGTGTTGTGTACAAGCAGCCCTGCGCGCGAATCCGGCCCGCCTGGTCTAGATGTAGCTCTAGAGAGCCACCCTAGAGCAGACTGTGGCCTACTCTTCCACTCTGGACAGATGTGTTGGAAGGCGTGCATGCCCAACACTGTTCTCCTTCCACTGGAGGAGGGCACTGCCGCCGGTACCCTTCACTGCGCCAAACACATGCACGGCGTGCTTTGGTATAGCTACAGTAAATATTCATGAATGCAATTGATTAACTATTTTATTTTAATATTCTGAGTTTATAATGGTGCTAGTGTCTTCATGTGTTAATATCCATTGTTTAAATATTATAAAGTACGTTTTGGGGGGTAAAAAAGGGCAACTCGATGCTTATCGGAACGTTCTAAGCCTTTAACATGTTGAGTTCAGTTTATTTTGAATTACCCTCTGAACCAATAAGCTCTTAAATCGAGTTTCATCAACAACAACAACAAAACAACACCACCACCACCACCGCTTCTCCGACATAGTAACATTTCCCACACTCGCTCATCGACCAAATCACTCCACGGCCTGCCTTGGTGAGACCAATCTCCTGCACGTGGCTGGGCGCAGCAGAGACAGCGGGGGGAGTCTCAAGGAGCGTGCCCATTGCTTCACCTACCGTGACACTGGCGCTCCTGGATGTGTCAGCCCAGCGTTCCCAATAGTTCGTGAGCCACGCAGAGTTTCACTATGCACGACAAGACGCACGTGCGCGCGCGTGTGTGCGCATATTTTTTTCACTGGATTCAGTCGTAATAAATTACATTGCCTTGGGCTCTTAAGCACAGCAAGCCCGGGTCGGTGAGCGGTGTGATGAGCCTTGTGTCCGTGAGCACTGGGGTGAGTCGATCTGGGAGGCTCTGACTTACAAGCCACGTGTCTGTAAAGTTGTTTTTAATCTTGATTTGAAGTGTAAAGTTATTTTTTATTGAGATACGAGACAACACTGTATTGTGGATACACGTCTCCACACTGTTTATTCGTGAAACATTTTAATCGAGAGGCCTTTAATAATAAAATAGCGTATGTTGTAATTAAATATAACTAACAACGAGAAACCGTAAAGTATTGCCATATACAAGTACTGTACTGTATACCATGCGTTACACTACATAACGATGTCATTCACTGTACTGTAATACAAATTGACATTTCGATATGGATGACGCAGTAGGGGTTACATTTAAACAAATGCACTTGCTCACTAAAATGTGTCGGATTCGTAACATGCACCTGTACATAAGGTAACCAAGGAGACTAACGTTAATTGTTTGATAACAGCAGCTTCAACTTGCGAGTGTCAGTGCATTACTGTGGCATATTAACAGTGGTTTAACCACAGGGGAGGTTTTTTTTTAAATCTCCCCAACCCTATTCCTTCCTCCACCTGCTCCCCATACCCCACTAAAATTGGCCACACAATTAGCCTTGATCTGTTGGCAGCGGTAACTGCATGGCACTGCCATGTTTATAAATACCTGCATAAGCCACTGTGTAATGTGGACCCCACTGCTATTTGTGGTACACTTGGCATCTGCTTGTGTTCGTACCCACGATGTAGCGTCGAGAACACTTCTTTTGAGTTCAATTTACAAAAACGGGTGTTGTCACGCTCCATGATGAGGTGCAATCTAAATGCCTCCTCTACGCTATCCTGTATTTTTATTTAATTCCAAACAATGTGGAGGATGAGGGTACATTTTTGTTGGGTGACATGGGAGTATCCTAGGATTTAGTAACGACGAAAATAGACATTGTGTGGCATGCCAATGTTGAGCACGGGATTTAAAAGCTTTATACGGAAATATCACAGCATCAGCATGATTCAAATCCACATTGTCTAAGCTGCCTTGACACCGATTCGGCTCAAACGCACCCTGCCGAGCCGTTCTAATATAAGGAGTACTGTAGGCCCATCCAGTTGTATTACTACTACGCGGTTATTATGTTTTCAAATGTTATTGTAGAAGAAAAAAATAATTCAAAATAAATTTCACTGGACACACCAACACAACACCCTAGGGTACCACGACCAGAGTGGGATTGCGTGTCCCACATCTCAAGCACATAACATCCATCGAGCGATCCGTTTATAGATACCCCTGCTAAAATACTAGCAATTATAGCAAAAACTACGTTACTGAATTTCAAAGCCTCTGCATACCGCGCACCAATCTTTGATCACTTTGCTGATGCACTTTTTTTCTGGAATATTATCGCCGCCGCTTTCACAATATTCAGTCGTCTATCGAGGGTCATGAGAAATCAGCGAGGTATCTATCAATTGATCACCCTGGATAGACGTTGTTCGTACCGCGTAACTAAATTCATGGGACAGAGCAATATCATCAGTCCATCGGCAGTGCTACACTCGCTGTACTGCCAGGGCTCCCGGCCCCACTCTTCATCCCTGGATGCGGTCGTCCTTCCCCCTCTGCCGTGGCAGCTGCCAAGGTTCAACGCTTCTAAGGAATCCCTCGGTCGAATCGTGGATTGTCGAGCACGTGCTTGCGGCAGTCGTTCCCAAGCATCTTTCGTCTGTGGCCCATGGCAGTGCAATCCTCCGTTGCGTCTCAATCATTCTAAAAACGTCTCCGGTGAGTATTTGGGGCCATGTTGTCGCGTCTCGTTCGTCAACAATGTCCCACGTTTGTCTCCGCGTGCTGGGATGGTTCTTCAAGAACTGAATTCAAAGCGATGTCCGACATTTCGCTTCAAGTGTCCGGGAAGAAGCTGTCAGCACGTGGAGTGAAACGTTGCACGCCGTGACGCACAACGCTGAGTGCAACGCGAAAAGACACAGCTATCAGAGCTAAAGATCACTTTACGTTAAAGCCTGGGTTTCTTAAAGTGTTTTAACTGTATGCTTATGATTTAAAGCTTTCGTGACTGCACATATTCTTGGTTCTTTCGGTAAAGTCACGTAGAAGGGAAACAAGAAAATAATAAAAAATATTAAACATTATGCATCACAAGCAATCATCATGATGATTGCTTGTGATGCATTCGAAACGTCGTGAGAATTTTAATGTTTTTATTGTTTCCCTTCTACGTGACTTTACCGAAAGAATCAAGAATATGGATACTTATGCTTTAGTTACATGACAACCCTCAAGAGTATTCTTCATTGGAAAATATTTAAACATGTCCCCAATGTTTATCGTTTTGATTTATACCTATTCTAACTTTTTTAAAATCATTAAATAAGTGCATAATTCCAGATTTATGGTTATAAAAAATATACAAAGTAATCAGATACAATAACAACATAAAACGAGTCCTACAATAGCCCGAGCATGTTGCAGATAACTACAATCAAGTCCTATTTATACAAAGAACACGAGCTACTTTTTAAAATGCAGTTCGGCTAAAATAATGTTGCATGCACGCACGCTGAACTTCTTTCGCACCGTGCGTAGCCAACCGTGCTCATCGCTGGTGCTCCAACAGCGTTGGGAAGGGGGGTTGGAGGGGGATGTTAACCCCCCCCCACCACTGCTGAAATAATGAAAGCTAAATCCCCCTTCTAAATTCTTTGAGCCAAGTGAATAAAATGTCAGCCCAATATTCACATAGGGAGCGAGAGCCCCAGCAGAACGCACAATAGACAAAAGCAGGCCCCATATAATTCCTCATTCTGTTCCGCGTTTAACATTTAATGATTAACATTGCCTGTGCGGTGTCCCCCTAAGTTTTTGTATGCCCCCCGCCCTCTGCATTAAACAGTGTCACACTACAGGACTAATATCTTAAAATAAGCAAAAGATGGAAATTTAAATCGTCGAATGCATTATTGCCATGTGTGAACAAAAAAACACGAGCAAGCATGCTTTCTACAATGTCCAGAACTTCTATTAGATTGTGGTTGGCACATGCTTCATGGCCGCATTACTCCCGCTGTGTTGTGATGTAGTGCACCGTTATGCTAAAGACTCAGTGGACCAGTTATAGTAGGGTGACTTATTCCAATAGTAAAAGAGGGCCTGTAATTGTAATGAATAAACAGTATTTCAATGTAGATGCCTCGCACGAATGGTTTAGACCTCCCAGCAGTGGCATAAAAGTAGGACACGTGGAGGTCGCTGGCTTCGTTTAATTAACCGATGCAAAAAATAAAATCCAGACCATCAAAAAAATGTAACACCTCATTGTGAAATTGCTGCTGGGACCAATCATGCACAAGTGCTATTTAGATTTTTTTGGCAATCTAATTACATTTTATCCCATGTCAAATTCTGAACAATCTCTAAATGCTATTCACTCGTGTGCACTCTCACCACATAGAACCACGTGTTTAAAGGTATGTACAGCAAAATTATACCCGTGTATGTACAGGAATCTTCCTTAGCCACCGTGTGTAGGAATATGCGAGCGAATGAAAACTTTGTATATACGGAAAATACTGTCTGCAATCTGAGAGGGCTGCTCTGTGGCATTGATCTACATTTTGCATTAAGGAATCAATAATGTATAACGATACTGAGGTTTTTCAACCTTCAATAAAAAAAAAATTGCAGCGAGGAGCTCTGTGTAATGAGCGACTCATTGCTGAAAAACAATTAGATATGCCCGCATCTTATCGAAATTCATGACTGGTATTGATATGAAGAACTATAACTGTTAGGGTTTCCCTGTAATGGGGAATTTGGCCAAACATCAATTTGTTTTTATGTCAGAAGCAAAAAGTGAGTTCAGGTTGTACAATTTATGCAGGTCTTGTCAATGTAAATTACTTACCAACCGTGCTATGCATGTAAAAAATATAATTCCAGGATTATAATAGGTTAATCTGAAGCTAAAGTTTTTGAATACTTGAATTGTGTCTCGGTTCTCGTGAACATGAACTCAAAGGAGCTGAAATTCGAAGTAAAACTAAAATCTGTGCGATTACAATTACGGCCAAAATCTCTGCTGTGTGCATTATTAAACGGCAAACGATGTACTTGGCCAGCAATGGGTACATTTTATACAGTTTCAGCCTTTCGTCTGACACGCATTGATCTGCTCATGTGTTCTACGCATGGGTCGTGGTCGTCTTCAGGGCGACAGGCAGATGGTGGTAGCGATGAGGTGACACAGGGTGATGAGAATTGCTGCAAACTGCTGAGGCCTGTGACCTCCATTATCATCGTTACCATTCAGCTTCGCATCTCTCCCTCCAACCGACTGCAGGATCTTGGTTGAGCCCTTTAAAAAAATGCAAAAAGGAAAAGTCAATATATTAATATTAAAATAAGTCAATCTCTATTTGTACAGTAAACAAGTAAATATGACGCATTCTCCCCATATTCGTCTCTCCACATTACTGAAAAATACTTTTTACACATCCAATTAGCCGCAGAACCTTCCGTGAGTGTGTAAGAGCCCAGAGTTGTCGTATAAAATGTTTTACGTGGAGAAACAGCCATTGGAAGGAGGCGTTTTGCGTGTTTTTAAATAAATATTCTCCACAAAAATGCTCAATGATTACTCTGCTTATTTTATGTAACGCACTTACAATCGATAAAGGCGTATCAGAGCGCTTTACACAAAGTAAAATGGATATGAATACTCAATACTTATAATATATACGAGTGTAAAATGAACAAATCAATTTATTATACAAAATGTCATAGTAAAATCACTGTTACTTGTTCTCTCATTTGATCATTAACACCATGATCATAAAACAGCCACGATCATCAGTTTCTACCACCAGTTTCTTGGACCAGCAGTTACGGAATAACAAACTTAAATCAATGGGCAATGTAGCCAAAAACAGTTGAACAGGACAAGCAACGTTACAGCTGCTGAGGAGCCAAATAGCACAGCTGTTAATTGACAAAGCCATACGACTGTGAACTGGGGCAGTGAAACACCCACGATTAACTGCCAAAATAGCACAGGCTACAAATTTGTTATGAATACTACCATTGTTATTATTTAAATATGACTGTAATTGCGATGTGTTACTTAGAACGCGATCTACCACTGGGTGCGCGCTATGTACGAATTAGTAGTGACGTCGCATCTGGCAGGGCAGCAGGGTCAGTGCTCACGAGCGACTCATCGGCTGCCGAGGTTAGAGTTTTAAATGTTCAATGTCACTCTTCAAAAAAGTGCCCACGTAATGGGCCATCACCCTGCATGTGTTGGGTAATTCAACACCCCGACTCGCAAAAATCTGCCAGCCAGAGGGTTTTCAACACCTGCAAATCTAAATCGAGTTTTGGAAAAGAAGTACACAGCATAACAGTAGAATTTCTACTGCTTGTGCTTTTTTTTCTGTCGCAGTAACGCTGTATAACTCTTTGACGGGTTTTCAGGATATACCGTGTGTTGTTGGGCATGAGGTCTAACGTTTCACTCCACATTGCGGGACCTTCTTCAGGAACTGAATTGTACGTGTTTGGAGCTACTGCAATAACTGTTGATGAAGAAGCTCCCAGCACGTGGAGTGAAACGTTGGACATCATGCTGAGCAACACGCGGTACAACCTGAAAACACATCAGAGAACAATAAGATAATAACTTATTTTTATTTGTAATATATTTAATCAACGAGGATTTCATGGTAGGCACTGCTTTTGAGGGATACTAGTAAAACATAAGCTAAATACAAACCCTACATTCAGGGATCAATATATGAGATGCAGCTATTCTCGTTGTCACGGTATGATACCTGAAGAGAATATTCATTTTATCTTCATGAGGGACGTGCCAGGGTTACAGCAGGGTTCGAATGCGAGAGTGAGTGAGAGCTGAATTATCCATTTGTCCATAGCGAGGGCCAAAAGCCGGTGCTTCTTTTAAATTTAACGTCGTATGTTAACATTGCTCGATTGGCAACAGTTAAAGCCAGAACTCAACACCATTGAGGTGAACAGCGGTTTCCATCGAACGCTTGTTTAAATAAAGTGCACCTCGCATCGATTGAGGAAAAAGAATTATGAAAAAACATTGATTTCTATATGAATCAGTTACATCGATTTTCTGCCTGGCAGTGGTGGGTTGGGGGTGGGGGGGGACAAAGCAGCCCCCAGTCTGGGGAGTCAGCCAAGTCCACGGGATGTGGACACCAGCGACTGGCCCCTAGCACTACGACTCTTCATTGCCACCACTGCATCCGCCTAGTGACCATTCCTCCTGCTGTTAGCTAGTTGTTAATATACTTCGTGTACCGCTGTACTGTATGTCACATTTTGTTGAGATCACATTACACAACACCACAGCTCGTCGGTTTATCTGGTCTCGTGTGGTGGAAGAAAGAGTGGAAGAGTAGGCCAAAACACCCTCTCTCAGGGGGCAGGCGGGGCTCCGTAGAGAGATCCTCAAGTGGAGGTATTTCCTCCATTTGGGTGAACAGGCAATTATGTGGCTGCGCATCTTGAATTAAAGCTTTCGTGACTGCAGGAATTCAAATTCTTGGGTGTTTCGGTAAAGTCACGTAGAAGGAAGACGACCGTTTGTGTTGCGATCGAAACGTCGTAGTTTTTTGTTTGTTATTTTTTGTTATTTTCTTTGAACCTATCGACGTGACTTTACCGAAAGACCCAAGAATATCTGGCCGCACTTTTATCTTTTTACTGTTTGGAGGACTGTAGTTTGACTTTTATCTGTTCACAAAAAAATCACCTCCACCATAAATATGTTTGAGCGTTTTTAAATGTATATACAGTATGGTAAACATTGCTTTGAACGATCACAGATGTGAATATTCGTATGTATTAAACTACAAAGGAAAGCTCCTATTTACGATTCAGTTGACAACCTGCGTCAGGCTGCAGAACACAAACACGCAGCTCCATCGTCGTTGTGATCGTTCACTTGGTAATATTTCATCTCCCGGCGTCCGTTTAACGTTTTTGATTCCCCTCACCGCGGGGGGAGAAAAAAAACAATAAAGGCTGACATTGCGAACCGTAAAACTTGCCATATAAGCAGATGTGTCGGGCCTCCCTAGCACTCTAATGATAGATTAAGGGGTAAATCCACATGATACCGTGGACCTCACAGACGCTTGTCTCTCTCGGACTTCTCGCATTGCTCCTTGGAGAGAACCCCCTTTGTGCGGCGCTGATACACACGGGAGAAGCTGCCCTGTCGCCCGCCAAGTGACAGGCGCGAGTCTCGGCACCACGGCGCTTGGGTTTGGAAGCAGGCAGCTGAATAGATCGGGGCAGCGGTGGGAGCGAGAATGGGGGCCGGGAAATTAAATCAAACTTTTGCAGAGTTGCGAAACAAAACATCTAAATTACCCTCGCAGAGAACGCCGACAGAGGCGTGATTGCACAGAATGTGCAATTTTTTTTTATGTGTTTGTGCTTGTACCAAAAACAAAAATAGAAGGAGGAGTGGTGTCCTAGTGGTTAGCGCCATGCGCTATGAACCCAGCGACCCCAGTTGGAACACCTCTCACAATAAAACAGGGTTACATAGATTTCAACCGTGCTTGGGTCTCCCTTAGATGGACTGAAGTCTTAAATAAGTACCGTGCGCAGTGTTAATCACCAACACTGGGGAGACAAAGGTGGCCACGCCATCTCGTGCAGCTGTGCCAGCGTTTATGAGGTGCTACCCGACAGCACTTGCCCCCGACAGCCCGCCTAGGATAGGATAATATTGTTGTAGACTGTATAACACTGAACAAACCATTGCCAACCATTCCCTATCTATTGTTGAATCAAGGCCTCTCCGTGTTGATGCGAATTCCTCTAATGATGTGCAGAAACAATCAATTCCATGCTTACAGATTGCTCTGATTTTATTGCTCTGTTTCCTAGTCGGAGTTTTCTCTCTTGGCAGCCATTTTCATCACCAGTATCACAAGGGATGCATATTGTATGTTATTTATACAAGAGCATTTTGCATTATATAAAAAAAAAATGTATGAGCTGGGCTCTTTGACTCACCTGTTAAGGTATTTTAGCTTGCAAATTGAACACGTGACAGAACTTGGTTTTGCCTCTTGGCCAGATGACGAACCAAATGCATGGAACTCAAATGCCACTAAATTCCCCAAGTTCCGATCCACTGTGGAAACAATCTACATCCTTCAGTCCATGGATGTCGTTCTATATTGACCTTGGAGATTAATCACACAACTCCTCCAATCACATATCCCTCAATGCACATTCGCATGGGTAAACGGACAGAATTCGTCTAAGAGCTGGGAACGAACACCAATTGTTTTATTACAATTTGGGAAGATTTCCAATCGTTTTACTATATCAAAGTCAATCATTAAGAAAAGAGAGTAGTCCAAGTAAAATATGCGAGGACAGCTCGGTGATTTACTCAAGTGTCACGCGAATTTGAGTTTTTTTGCCAAATTCATCGCAAAAATGCATTCCCCAATAACAAGAGACAGCACATCTCAGATGTGTGTTTCGGGTTATTGCACATGCTGCTTGGCTTGACGCCTGACATTTCAGTTCTGAAGAAGCTACTAGCATTGGGAAGTGAAACGTCGGACATCATGGTCGGAGCACGGACACAGCACATCGGAGAGCTACTCAGCACTACCGCAAAAACCTAGGGGCAGCAGTAGAACACACACACTCATGATGTAATAAGACAAGCCATGTCACATCTCTCACCAAACCCTACCATCAAATACTACTATGGATTTTCAAAATCGTATTATTCATTGCATGTCTTACAATGAAAATACACATCTGTTTTTTTTATATACTGCACTTCACAATGGCTTAAACAAATTTTTGTTTAACTGAAAGCGATTATGTATGTAGAACTTCTTTCGCACCATACGTATCGAGATATACAACGCCATTGAATGCTACTAAAATAATAACAAAAGGCTTTAATAACTTTAGCATAATACACCGATCCTAATTCCCATGTTGACATTTACTTTCAGAGAGATTTTAGATGCAAAAAGAAAAAAAAAACTCATCACATCAATATATATTCAGTAATCTTAAACAAGGACTGCTCTATACTTTATTTTACGCTTATAAAACATTCTCATTCTACTCTAAACATCGCCCGAGTAATAAATGCACTCCGCTAATGCGAAACACATTTTACTGTTTTATTGTTAATCCGTGGTTGATTGATTAATAAAACCCAGGTCAGAGAATACTCATGTTGGCTTTGCGATGCTAACTCCATGGATACCCAAGGTTTACCAACACACTGCTTTTGCATGTGAGGAAACCCCATCTGTTAGACGAATAACTTGCTTC